CCACCCACCAACTTATTCACCCACCCCCTTCATCATAGTCACCCAACAGACCTCGGATTCGAAATCCCTGCATCAAAATACCTCTAAAAAAATGGGCTTCGAAAACTTTGCTGCAATCTGATTGGTTTCGACGGAATGACGGAATGACGGAATGACGGAATGACAGACAGACAGACAGACAGACAGACAAACTTTAAGCAATTTTAGGCCCATGATTTAAACGTGATAAAACCCTTTCTTTCAGAAAAGGGAATAAAATAGATAAAAATAAAATAAAATAATTGAACCAATTTTTGATAAAATATTTAATAATATAATTATCTGAGCAAAATAGGATAAAACAAACAAAAATAATATATATATATGGTGATTATCGAATTGTTTGAAAAAAAATAGAATAAGATAAAATAAATAATATACATATGTTGTAGGTAAAATTCAAATCTTTTTTTTATAGTTAAAAGAACACGAAGAAAGAGAATCAATCTAAGTGTGAATAGTTTTTTTTATTTTACAGTACTTTTTAACAAATATAATTTAGCTTTAATTTTATTTAATCCATGTTTAAGCATCTACCTCTCTGTGAAGGATATTTGGTGGAGCAGGAAACATTTTCTCATTATTATTAACTTGAATGATCGGTATATCCAATTCCATTATTTTTTTACCATCTGTGATCATCTATATACCAACTTATTTTCACAGCAACTCCTTACTGGAATTTTCTTTCTCTTTATTTTGTCTTACTCGATAAGTTACCCATCGTATACAACAGCTATTCTTGGTTCTGATCTGATTTTCTTAGTTGTGAGAATAACTATGTTTAACAGAAGACGAAAAGAAAGAGAAATCGATCAACACGTAAACATTTTACTTCTTTTAACTATAAAAAAAAGATTTGAATTTTGCCTACAACATATATTTAAATATAACTATCGAATTATGCAATAAAAATAGGATAAGACAAAATAAAAATAGTATATATATAACTATCGAATTGTTTGATGAAAATGTAATAAAAAAAGATATAGAATAGTTATCAAAGAAAATTAAAAATTATTAAAATAGAAGAATTAATAGTAAAATATTATATTTGATTCATTAATAACTGTCATTTTGCGTCGCAACGGGTTCTTCAACAGAGTTAGATGTTGTATATTACAAATAAAATAACGGAACATTAAGTTTCGTACAAAGTTGTCTAATTATAAATTTGTTAGATAGCGTAGTTAAAATTCGAAATATTGAGAAAATGAAGTATAATACTGCTATGAACATTTTATGATTTAACTAATCACATAGTATTTATTATTGATATTTGGACAATTTTACTTTTTGTCATCATCAGGATATAATACACGCGCTTTTGTAACAGTATATATGAAAGATTACAGTAAAATGTTTAGAAGTATAAATGTGAAGATTATCCAATCAGTATAGAATTATAAGTAAGGTTATACATTGTTGTATTTCGAGAAGATTTTCGATTGATTGTTAAATAGTTTGATTAATGTAATGATGTCAGTTTGTTTGTAGATGAATTTCATTGAATTGGTGGTTCTGTTAATATAAGCACATAAGTGAATATAGATAGATATTGTTTTTATAAGGATGAGTTTTGTATGTAGAATACATAGTAGAACATACAAAGTAAAAGGAGTTGGAAGATGTTAATAGATATTTGTTTCTGAAGGATAGATTTTACAGAAAGTATATAGAATGTAACACCATGCAGTTTGTACAATAACGTAATTCACTGAATATGTAGAGAATTAGAGAATGTTTATTTAGATATAGATTATACAAAAAAAGTATAGAATATAATACATTGAAATTTGTACGTAAAACATCACAATAGAAAAATACATAGAAGGAAAAAAGAATTAGAAGATGTTTAATAGATTAATTTAAGTTTATATTTTACTTCATTTATTGCTTTATCTTGTGTATAATGTGTGTATATGCTTCCTTTTATTATTCTACGTTTCCACATTGATTCAAGTGTTAATGTTTTAACATTATCAATGTCCATCATATGTTTATTAGTATTACAATCTTGAGCAATTTGCGAAGTTATTTTATTTTTTCGAATATCATAACGGTGTTCTTTCATTCGTGTTTGTATGTTTCGATTAGTTTCTCCAATATATTTTTTATCACAGTTTTTACAGTCTATGATATATACCAATTTTTTATTCTTTCTTGTTTCACCTATTCCTTTTTGTATTGGAAGAAAGATATTACGAAGAGTCATATATTTTTTATATGCTATATTAATTGTTATATTTGGTAAAAGGTTTTTACATAGAATTTGTATTTTATTTTCTAGTATAATAGACTCGTGACCATAATATGAGAATGTTAAATAGATTTTTTTCACCTTATTTCTTGTTGGAGATTTATCACGAGAAGAATTTACTAATTGTTTATATATTACATTAGATTCTTTTATTTCACGTCTTATAATATGATTTTGGATAACCATTTTGTTTTAATACCTTAATTAAATGATGTCTTTCAATTTTTAAATATGTTTCATCAGAACAAAGTTGTAATAATCGAAGATAAAGAGATTTTATTAGTCCAAGTTTATATTTTCTAGCTTGATTGCTATCAAAAAGAAGATGTAAATTAGTAGCCGTTGGCTTTCTATAAATTGTTGTTTCATATTTATTATTACGTCTAATTATGAGTAGATCAAAGCAATGATTCGGCTAATTAGGAATGAATAGTGATCGATAAATACTCTAATTACTAATACAATGTGTCAGACATATAAAATGTCCCATTGTGGGACATTTCGTCATTATTTATATTTTGTTTTTCTGTGAAACGTCGTGGCTTCAGGTAAGTGTTGTTTGAAAAGTATTCTATGCATTTATATTCTCATGATAACAAAAAGTAAAATTGTCCAAATATCAATAATAAATACTATGTGATTAGTTAAATCATAAAATGTTCGTAGCAGTATTATACTTCATTTTCTCAAAGTTGTCTAATGTTTTCCTCGTCCTTTTTACGTTCCTCTTCCAATTGTAGTTTACCGTATTATTGTAAACAGCAGTGAAAGTGAATTGCACATATTTTTACCGTCTATTCTGCAGCAGTCCTGAATATCTTCAAAGAAGAACCCAAGAAGAACAAGGAGAACATCAGACAACTTTGTAAAAAACATTAAAATGTTTCGTTATTTTATTTGTAATATACAACATCTAACTCTGTTGAAGAACCCATCGTAATGCGAAACGTCAGTTATTAATGAATCAGGTATAAGACTTTTCTATTAATTCTTCTATTTGAATAATTTTCTATTTTGCTAAATAATTATACTGCATCTTATTTTCTTACATTTTTATCAAATAATTCGACGATTATATATTAATTTACTTTACTGTATCTCATTTTATTAAATAATTCGTTAGTTATAGATATACTATTCTTAGTTATTCTATTCTATTCTGTTTTTATAAAATAATTATATTCTTAAATATTCTATCAAAAGTTAATTCAATTATTTTATTTCATTTTTATCTATTTCATTAAATAATTTAAACAATCCTAGAGTTCTACATATATCGTCATCTGACAAAACTAAAGAATTTATTAAAAACGAAGGGAGAATTGATTTTATACATTCAATTAAGAAAAAAAAGCGATAATTTTATGTAAAATGTTCTAACATTAGAAAGAATAAAAACAAAACCAATTCAGATTCGAAAGAGATCGTACGTCCTGCAAATTCTAGCATAAACTACCAATATTTTGGTCGTTACGACTATATGATTTTAACTACCTAACATCCGAGGATGCCATCCGATATATCTCATCAGGTCACACTTGAAACTCTGATTAAAATAGCTGTAACACATTCCTGAGCGAATATCGAAAGCATTTATTATCGAAGACCTCGTACTATCACAGGAAATACACAGTATTTTAAGTGATCTTTCACCCACACTTTGAGTTATGCAAAATTCAAAGTGGCCCAGTGGCAGATCTCATCGAATTACACTTGAATCTGTAGCTAGAATAGTTGGAGCACTTTACTGAACGAATATTGGCAAGCTTTACTGAGTAGTTTCTGTAACTACACTAGTAAAATTCACTATTTCACGATTTCCAGAGACATGGTTTGGGATATTGAAAATTCCAAATTGACCAATCGATAGAGCTTGTCGAGTTCTACTTGGAACACTTCTTGAAATAGTTGGAACAGCTCCCCAAATGAACCTTGACAGGTTTTACTAAGTAGTTGTTGTCACTACCCTAGTAAAAACTCACTATTTCGCGATTTACTCAGACATGGTTTGGGATTCTGGAAATTTCAAAGTGGCCAATCGATAGAGCTCGCCGAGTTCTACTTGGGCCACTGGTTGGACCACTTGGAACACCTTCTCAAACGAACCTTGGCAGGTTTGAGTCGAATATCGTGCTGACTTCACCTACGTGTTTTATTCACATTTCTTATCTCAACTTCTAGTCAATATTTATTTGAAAGAGCTTTCTTTAATGAAATCTTCTTATATTTATTGAGTATTTTCTTTGATAAATCCATACTAATTCGCATTGTCAAATTCTCTTTGTAACTCGAAATAATCTTAATTTTTAACTTTATTACTTTCATTATTTGAATTATTTTTTTGAATGTTATATTAAACTACAAAAAATATTCGAAGTATTCAAAGATATATAGAGAATGTAAGATTAGATCAATAGAAATTTCAGTTTAACTTGATAAAATCGAACAGATCAAGCAACTCTGTCTTTCATCACCTGAAATTGATAAGTAGTTCAATTCCTATCAATGAAATTTGTTCATGATCGAATTTTATCAAAACTGTTCAAGCTCGTTTTAAAAGTGTTACGTGAAATATTTTGTAAAGCAAAAAATATTTTCTTTGCGTGATCATGTGAAAGAAGGCTCTTTCAAATCTTGTTTCATATGGTCAAAACAATATCATGTTTTTATTCTCAGTATAACGCAAGAAAGAAAACGAACAAATATTTATGGACAATCGAGCATACAAAAAGTATATCCTTTATCTATTTGTAAGTGTTGGATAAGAATCAATTTTTATCACATCACCTATAAGAGATATATCGATAATGTAAAACTTTCTTCATACTTATCAGCACAGAAACATCATTGGATGTTTACAATCTCTATCTATATTGATATGATAGAAAAATCTTTCATTAATCGTATTTTGTCAACGCAACCGTTATTTTTCTTCTTACAGGTACTTATACTGCCAAGGAAAATATAAGTCCATTTTTTTGTATACAATAACATAAAAGATCGATTCGGTTTATTTCGCCAACGCATTCTTATTTTTTTGTTGTTTTGTGTTTCGTTAGTGAAAGTAATCCCAATTTATGACATCTGCTCGTTAACAATAGGTAATTATACTATGAAGGCAAGCGTATATCCATTTTGTTTTGTATAGAAAAATAAAGAAAGGTCGATTTGCTTTATTACGCAAACGAACGCACTTTTCAAATTTCAAATGGAAAATTATTCAAGTTAATACAAATAAGTACAATCTCAACGTCTCGACTAATTTCAATAGTCATTTCGTTGAGCAAGTTCACCGTCTATTACTGGAAATTGAAGTATTATGCATTTTCTTCTATATTAATAATAATATAATTGATTTAATACGAGCAAAGCACAAATGAAACGAAGTTTTAATTTCACAATGAAAATTTATTGCTGGAAATCGAAGGATTATGTGTGCCGTTCAATAATAAAAAATATTATTCTCTTTGTCATAGAGAAGAGTCCAGCAAAAATAAATTATTTACTTACTTGTACGTTGACTTCCGCTGACCCGTTCAGAGATAATCTCAATGGAGACGTATTATTCTCCATAAAACTTGACCAAAGGTAATCGAGAGTGAAGAATTCGAGTATGACATCAGTGTTTTTAGAATTTTCCCCACAAAGGATAAGTTTTTATGTAAAAAATTTGTTTCATGAAGTTTGATTAACGCCAATCGGATTCGAAGAACTTAAATTTTTGAAGTCGATTGTTTGAAATTGTTTGACTAAATAATTTGCTGGTAGTTGAAGACACACCGTTTCTACGAGAAAGAGCTGAGCGAGTCTCTAGACGAGCACTATTTGTCACATAAAGTTATGCTTTATCATGTAGTGCTGATTTTACTTCAATTAAATTCTATCGCCTCATTTATGTCTTAAATATATACAACTTTATTTTATATTATTACTTCAACATCATAGATTCTCAAAAATGAAATTATTCTCAAGTAATCTAAACGAGTATCATCATTCAGTAAAAATCAACAAGTTCTTGATATTTTTACTCTTAAGCGAGATTGATACTTCTGCTCATAAATAATATTCATATATTGTCACAAAACTATTATGTGTACCCGCTGTGCTTTCAAGCTAAACCATATCACACATTTTGTAAATTATTTCAACATCTGCAATACATTCATCATGGACAATCAAGCTTTAAAATTCGATATGAACTTGGTCCATTATAAGAAACAATATACTCAACCTTAGGTGGTTACAAAACACACATTTATAAGAAACACAAAACTCTTCTTTTATCTAAACAACAATTTTATTCATAAGTAATTATTTTACTACAGATAAATTCTATTCTTGTATATTTAGGTGAATCTGAAGATGAATTTTATCGGCAATTACTTTAATATAGTTTAATTTAATCTATTCTTTTGTATTTAGATCGACGAAAATGAAACATTCGCTGGTGGCTGTAGCTATAGACAAGTAAATTATATTTGTCAATATATGTGGAAAGCATCCGAAAGATCTTGTCTTTGCTTGCTTATGGAGGGTGTTAGTGTCTTCTCTTTAGTCATATCCACTCACCGACACTCACAATTCAATATTTTTCTCTTTAATATTATGTGTTCTCGACATACAATAGTTTTCAATACTTTCTTTTCAGATCAAAACCTCATCAGTTTTTATTTCATTTCTTCCGATAATCAACTAGTTTATATCCGACATGTCTCAAATAACATCCTCCAGCACCTTCTTGGAACCAGTGGCTATTGTAGGCATGGCCTGTGAATTTGCTGGTGATATTCATTGTCCAAATGATTTATGGCAAGCATTGGAAGAGAGTCGAGATGTCGGTAGAGCAGTACCTCGTGATCGAGTCGATTTGGACTCGTATTGTGCACATATGTTCAATATGGATAACCATGGACAATTTCATGAGAAACTTATTCGTGCAGGATATTTTCTCTCCAATAATCAATGGGATACGTTCGACGCAAGTTTTTTTGGTGTATCCGATGCTGAAGCAGGCAGTATTGATCCATGTCATCGATTACTCATGCTCAAATTTGTTCATTTGCTGGACGATGCTGGCTATACAATCGATAAAATGAATGGATCACGAACTTCTGTGCACGTCGGACAGTTTTCCAATGATCATACTTACACAACATTTCGTATGAAGCCAGAACATCGATCTAGATTCCATGGACCAAATAGCTTTCTGTATAATGCTGCTGCCCGTTTATCCTATCATTTTAATTTACAAGGCCCTACCGTATCGATGGACGTCGCCTGTTCGTCGTCTCTGAATGCATTACATCTGGCTATACAAACCCTTCGTGTACGTGAAGCAGATATGGCTGTATGCGGTGGTGTGAATAGTATCTATTCTCCAGAGAATTTTCTATGGAGTTCGATAGCTGGCGCTGAGTCACCTGATGGACGAAGTCGATCGTTTAGTGTTGATGCTAATGGTTATGCTAAAGGTAAAGTGTGTATTATCATACGTCTACTAATATGTTTGAATGTAATTTCTAGGTGATGGTCTTGGTCTTCTATTGTTGAAACGACTGACTGATGCTGAACGCGATGGTGATCGTATCTATTGTGTTCTTCGTGATGCACTTAGTGGTCAAGATGGAAGTGAAGATAAGAGTAGTTTTACTGTTCCATCGGGTGTAGGACAAGCACGTCTACTAGCCGAGATTTATTCAAGAACAAAATTTGATCCTCGGCACATTTTTTATGTTGAAGCTCATGGTACTGGTACACCAGTGGGTGATCCTATCGAAGCAAATTGTTTAGGTCGATTTTTCAATCGATCACCTCTTGATCCTCCCTTACTGATTGGTTCTATTAAGAGCAATCTTGGGCACACAGAAGGAGCAGCTGGTGTTGCATCACTTATCAAAGTTGCCATGTGTATGTACCATCGAACCATTCCACCAAGTATGCAATTTACATCATTGAATCCGAAAATAGAAGCGCAACGATACAATATTCACGTCGTTCAACAATCTGTACCATTTCCTCCTCTTCTTACTGCTGAACCAATAGCTATAGGTATCAACTCGTTTGGTATGGGCGGTTCTACCGCACATGCCATTGTTGAAGAATATCAGCCAATTACAACACGAACCATTAATGAACATACATATGGTCATCACACTGAAAATCAGCGAGAAAATAAACAATATTTCATCTTTGTTTTCTCAAGTAAGTTCTGTGCAATCTATTCTTTTTCATTTTCTTAGTAGTTACCAACAAATTCGTTGTTTTTTCGTTTCAGCAAAAAGTCGTCAATCTCTCAATGATCAACTGATCCAATTCAATCGTTGGTTAGAAACAAAACCAGTTAATAATATAGATGATGATCAAGCTTTTCTTCAACGTATATCTCAACAACTTCTTCTTAAAAGAACTATTAGTTATCAACATTTAGCTATCTTTGTTTTTCTTGATCGTCAACAATTGCAAGAACAAATCAATGCTCTTCTTACTGAACAA